CCAGCTGGGTCACCGAGTCGCAGGGTTGGGTGTCCCCCGTGAATATGACGCTCCCTTCGGCTGAATCAACCCGGTAAGCCAGGGAGTCGAGCCAGGGTTGCACGTGCTCGGCAGGAGCGGCCGTTACCTCCCAATCCGGCCCATTGAACACTTTGCCCGGTCCCACGTCCCGTGCGGCAACCGAAGGGGCCGGTCGGGGAAGGGTGCCACCGCGATTCACGTAAACTTGCTGGCTGAGGGGGTGGTTCACCCGCGCCTTCCAGTCGTGGGCGAACAGACCGTTTTCGCCCAGGATGCCCTCCGTAATCTTCTCCGTCAGGTCGGGGCCGAAAACCTGGAGCTGGTTCTCCTTGCCGATGCTCTGGTCCCAGCGGCAGAGGAGGAAGCAGGGATAGTCGATGTCGTGGTCGAAATGGTGGTGAGTGAAGAAGAGGTAGTCGACCTGCGTGGGGAACAATCCCGCCTTGACCAGCTTGTGGGTGGCGGCCGGCCCGCAGTCGAACATCAAGAGCTCGTCGCCGAGTTTGAGCACGTGCGAACTTCCGAAGCGAGTGGGTGTCGGCGTGGGCGTTCCCGCGCCCAGAGTGTAGATTTCAGCCATTTTTGTCCTCACCATTTCCAGACTGATTGGTTTTTTTGATACGTGGCGGCCGCAGCCATCCGTTTCCATTTCTTTCGTTGTGGGGTTGAGAAAGTCAACCGCGTGATATCCCGACGGCCTCCGGCAACACTGTCCGGACGCACCTTCGCTGGTGCGGGCTCACGCGGTGCGGCCGTCGACGGATCGCTTGCTTTCCTGACAGATCTGCCTTCAGGTGCGGGAATTGTAAACCGTGAAGGGAGCGGCTTCTCCCGGCGCCGTGCCACGGTAGAACTGTCGCAGATAGGGCTCCACCAGCCCGGCCAGCTCCCGCCGTTCCACTTCTCGGTCCGACAGGGGCCTATCCAGCGCGGCTTTGATTTCCCTGAACAGGGCTTCCTTGTCCACCTTGGTTGGGTGCCGTTCCCGGAGTACGACTTCGCCGTCCACCAGCACGGTGTCGACGTCAATGCCCCGTCCCCGGTGCACCAGGGCGTCCACCACCGATACCCGCGGATCCAGATACGGCTCTTCAATGTTTCGCAGGTCCACCAGCACCATGTCCGCCCGTTTCCCCGGTTCCAGGGTGCCGATCCGGTCTCCGAACCAGCTGGTATAGGCTCCGTTGACTGTAGCCATCTCCAGGACCTGGTAGGACGTGGGAGGCTCCAGATCGATCCCGGGCACGCGGTGGAGCTTCAGCACTAGTCGCATTTCCTGGAACAAGTCCTTGTCGTCGTTCAGGCCAGCCTCGTCGCTGCCGATAGCCACCTTGATTCCCGCCGCCAGGATCCGGCCCAAGGGGGCTATCCCGCTTTGCAGTCGCAGGTTGGAGCTGGCGTTGTGGCAGATGTTGGTGCCCGTGGCGGCCATCAATCGCAGGTCTTCCTCCGTGGCCCAGACGCTGTGGCCGCACGTCACTTCGGGACCCAGGAACCCGAGGTCATAGAGGTGCTGTAGGGGAGTCTTGCCGTAGGCCGTGTGGCCGTAAAGCTTCTGGTACACCGTTTCCTGTAGGTGGATGTGTATGCCGGTCCGGTAGCGTCCCGCCATCTCCTTCAGCGCAGTGAGCAACTCGTCGGAGCAGCGGTGGACGTTGCTGGGGGCCATGGTCACCTGCACCCGTTCGTACTGGTTGTTGCCGTATTTCCGGCATATCTCTTCTAGGACGGGCATCACCTCGGCCGCGGGCCAATAGCTGGGAGCCATGAACGACCGGTACCGTTCCGCCAGGTCCGAGGGCATTTGGGCGGCAAAGTCGCCCTCTCCGCCGCTGGAACCGGCCACCATCGAGTTCTGGTCCACCACTGAGGGAGCGTAGGAGACCCTCATTCCGGAAGTCTGGTAGGCGCTTATCACCTTGTCGGCGATCTCCAGGCTTACCGGTCCGGATCCCCGCCCGGGCGAGTGTATCGCCTGCACCGTAGTGGTCCCCGTCTCGATCATCTGGACCGCACCGTAAAGTTGGTCCAGGTAGGGGTCGATCAATCGCGTGCCGATGCGGGCCAGGCTCCACATCTCCAACGGCAGGTCGGGCGCCCCCATCTGGAAGGGGGTGAGGCCGACGTGGAAGTGGTCGTTGACCAGTCCTGGCATGACGATGTGGTTGTCGGAGCCAATGACTTCGGCGTCGGGATGCTGGCGGCTGAGTTCCCGATAGTCACCCACCGCTTCGATCAGTCCGTCCCGCTGGAGCACTGCCCCGTCGGCGACAACGTCCGCCGATCGCGGGCCGGTAACCTTGCAGACGACGTGCTTGCCCCGTATCAGAGATAATGTCATTGCCGCCTCCCCCATCGGGTGTCCCGCATCATGCTGCGCGAAGTTGGAGCATCTCGTACCGCATTCTACACATTCCTGGTGCGCTCAGAGAGGCGGCATATGCGAGAACCCGTCTTTGTCAAACCCTTGCGCCTCAGGCGGGATGGAATGACGGGATAACCGAATGATCCTGACCGTCATCCCCACCCGCAGGAGCGTGGGGAACGAGGCAACGACTAGGCCGTCGGGGGATTGCGCCGATACCAATCCACAATCTCCGAGCCGGTGGCGGCCCACACGCTGCCCCGGCGCATGATGCGCCCCAGCGCTCGGTCGAGATAGCCGATGCGGAAAGGCTGGCCGATGAGCCAGGGATGCAGGTTCAACGCCATCAGACGTCCGTTTCTGCTGTCCGTCCTCGTACAGAGTTTCAAAACTTTCTTCGATGAGCTGTTGATACCGCCCGATGGTCACCCTCCGGTCCCAGAGGGCTGCCACGTCGTCCAGCTCCGCCATCACGGGCATGGCGAACATTTCCCCGTGGGGGCTGTGCATCGGGTAGGGCTGCTCATCGTTGACCCAATCGCAGACGTAACGCAGCCCGGCCTCGGACAACAGTTGCGGAGTGCGGGCGGACTCCCCGTATTCCGGCCCCAACCACCCGGCGGGGGCGGTGCCGGTGGCGCGAGTCAGGGCAGCCACCGATTGGCCGATGTATTCCCGCTCTGCATCCTCGGACATGTTGCTGGTAATCATGCGCGACAAAGATACGCCGTGGCCGATGATTTCAGCGCCGGCGTCCAGGCAATGCCGCACCAGGTAGGGATAGTTCTCGGCGGTCATGGCGTCCATTGCAATCGTGACCTTTATGCCGTGCTTCTGCAAGGTGTCCAGCACGCGGAAAATACCCACCCGATGCCCGTATTCCCGATGGGACAGCCTGGCGTAGTCCGGGAAGTCCCGGGCGCTCAAACCGCCGGCGAAAGGCGTGGTGAAGCTGTCGGCCGGCGGATCCCATTCCGGGTGATCGAGATTGACGATAACGCACAGGGCAACCCGCGCATTATCGGGCCAGCGCAGAATCCCCCTTTTGTTGATGGGCGACCAGTCGTAGTGCCCGTGGTCCATCCCGAAGCGCCGTTCTGCGGGCATCTCTTCACCTCCTCTTTGTAGCCGGTAGGCTCTTTGCGGCCAGTTAGGGTCTCATTTCAGGTGGTGTGGTCGCGACGCTGGGGCAACCCTGGTGATTGCCCCAACGCCCTATGCACGCCTCACCATAGGGGCGATTCATGAGTCGCCTGCGCCTAACTGCCAACTCTGCCAGCCCTTGCTCAACCGTTCAATCGCGCCGCGTGGGCCACCGACTGGTCGTAATAGTTGGCGATGTAGTAGTCCGCTATGTCGTCCGCTGTGGTCTGCCAGACCCCGTCGTGGGACATGATGTAGCCCAGCACTTCGTCCAGATACCTGGCCCGGTGGGGCTGTCCGATGAGATAGGGATGGAGGGCGATGCACATTACCCGTCCGCTCTGGGCGCCTTCCTGATAGAGCTGGTCGAACTGGGCCTTGCAAATCTCGGCAAAGTAGTCGCCCTCGTAGTGCTGCCGGAACAGCGGTGCGTCGTTCAGCTCGATTGAGTACGGCACCGAAACGAGCTTGCCGCGTCTTAACCTTGATGGGCACGGGCTGATCGTCGTGCATCCAGTCGGTATGGTAAATGAGGCCAGCCTCGGCCATCAGGTCCGGGGTGCGGTCAGTGCCGGATATGGCCGGCCCGAGCATCCCTTTGAGCTGTTTGCCGGTGTGCCGTTTCAGGGTGTCGATGGTGTCCCGGTAAAACTCCCGCTCCTGCTCTTCGGTGTAGGTGTTCAGGTAGCGGGTGTTGTAAATGCCGTGGCTCATAAAGTCCCAGTTGCGCTCCACCATGGCCTCCCCGATTTCGGGGAAATGCTCCAGCACGGCCAGGTTCAGGGACACACAGCAGCGGATGTCGTGCTTGTCCAGCACGTCTACCATGCGCCAGAAGCCCACCCGATTGCCGTAGTCCCGGTAGGCATATTGCTGAACGTCCGGATAGGGAGTGCGCGCCAGGGTCGCGCTGCCCGTCGAATTCCGGTTCGTATTCGTAGTGCTCGACGTTGGGAGCAATCCACAACGCCACTCTGGCGTCGTTGGGCCACTTGATGATGGGCCGGTCGATTATGGGGCTGTAATCTACCCGATTCGGCGCCAAAGCCATGGCGAAACCTCCCTCTGTGATAGGGCAATTGATACCCGTGCGAGCGTTCCGATACAGTTTCCGGCAGTGTAATCAGCAAGGTTTGACCCGTCAAACGACTGACGCGGCATAGAAAATCGCGAAACGCATGCCCACGTGTTGGTGGGGCGGGATTCTGGATACTCGCCCGCGCGGGAGTATCCGTGTGTGAGGTCAGGGGTTTTCGGGTGGTTGGGGTGGGCTCTGGCGTCCCGGGCCTACGCCGCCGGGCGATGGCGTTCAGCTTCGCAAGCAGCTTTCGCATCACCGCTACCAGCGCCGCTTGCCTGGCCTGGACCCGCCGACACAAGCTCAGAAAGGCTGCTGTCTGCTGGTGTAAAGTTGGGCCTGGGCCGAATTGCCCACAGCAAACCCCAACCCAAAAACTACAGGAGGAAAGCCATGACAGTGCTGGCGGACTATGCGAACAAATACGAGACGGTCAGTGTGCAACGGGAGGATGGGATTCTCCAGGTGACGTTTCACACCGGGGACGGAAGCCTGCTTTGGGGCGAGGCCTCTCACCGGGAGCTGGGTTACGCCTTCGCCGACATCGGAGCGGACCCCGACAACCGGGTGGTCATCCTCACCGGCACCGGCGACGACTACTGCGCCGATTTCGAGCCCAACCGTCCCACCCGACGGATGCCCCAGGACTGGGACAAGACCTACTGGGAGGGCAAGCGGCTGTTGACCAACCTGCTGGAGATCGAAGTGCCGGTCATCGGCGCCGTCAACGGTCCGGCGACCATCCACGCCGAGATCCCCGTGATGTCCGACATCGTGCTGGCGTCGGAGACCGCCACGTTTCAGGACGCGCCCCACTTCCCGCGCGGCGTGGTGCCCGGCGACGGCGTCCACGTGATCTGGCCCCTGGTGTTGGGACAGAACCGAGGCCGGCACTTCCTGCTGACCGGGCGGACGCTATCGGCCCAGGAGGCGTTCGAATTGGGCGTGGTGGCCGAGGTCCTGCCCAGAGATGAACTGTTGCCCCGGGCCTGGGAAGTGGCCCGGCAGTTGGCGGAACGGCCGCCGCTGACGCTGCGCTACACCCGCGTTGCTCTGACGCTGCAACTGAAGCGGCAGATGCAGGACATGCTGGGATACGGTCTGGCCATCGAAGGCCTGGCCGCGGTCGACGTGTCGCTGTCGCAAGGCTAGCGCCGGGCTAAACGGTTGTTTCGGGTTCAGGCCGGCATCCAAAAAACGCGTTCTCAAGTGTATTCACGGGATCGTACGACGTCGAGTCCCTTATGGTCTGAAAACCCGTGACAGCCTGTTTTGAACCCTGTTTGGCGATCCTGTGGGACCATCGGACTGCCGCATTGCTCCGTTGGGCGGCGCGGTTGCTATGTTTCGGTCAAAACCGATGGCGGAGCGGCTTCGGTGCCCCACCCAAAATCGGCGGTCTCGGAACTGTCGAGGCTGGGCTTGGGCGTCTTCCGCAGCGCCGCACAGCCTCCCTGTATTGGTCGGGTGGGTTTTCCGCTTCTGTAAAGGGCAGCAGCAGAGTGGTGCCACGTCTTTGCGGGGCCGGTTGGTGATCCTCACCGGCAACGGCGACGCGCTCGTGTTTCAGCGAGCATAGAAATCGCGCCGGGCGGGTTTGACGGGGGTTGCGCAGCACGCTTGCCCGGCACAACGATAGCAAAACCGTGAGCACCGACGGGAAGCTGATGCTCCAGTGAAACGAGATCTTATTCCAAGAAACCCGCTTCGGAAACCGATGCCAATTGATGGTAGAGCGAGGTCGTCTCGTGGTCCAACTGATCGACGCGATCACCGCAATGCACTCGGAAATCTGGAACACAACGGTGGCGTTGGTCGGTCTCGTGGCAAGCATGGAACAAGAACTGGCATTGACGGATTTGTACGAGGCACAGCGACTACAGGGGAACAAGCTACTCGCCAATCAACAGTCCATGAGTTGGTCGCGCGCTAACGGTGACCAACTTGTTGAGGCGATGAAAGAGTGCCGCAACCTTAGTCGGACCCCACTGGACAAAATCGAGAACCGTCACGTTGAGGTTCGTTCTGGGAGGGTAGATGGTCCGTTGGACCGGTCCCGCTCGAGTAGTACCTGCGGGCGTGTCCAGAGAATAACCCGGTGGCCTTTGTCATAACGACAGAGGCCACCGCTGTTCTCGCAGCGCCAGTCTCCTTGACCGAGGCTTGTCCATTTTGTTGGTGGGTCTCGACGGCGACGGGCCACCGGTTCACGGCGATCAGTTCCGTAGGGCTGACGCTTCCGGCGACGACCCTGACGGCGCCGGTGGGCGACCCGCCAGAGCCGCTGAACAGGTCGGCAACCAGGTATGCTTGGCAGTTCATTCCGTTGCTCCACTATTTTTTAACCTTGGCGTCCGACTGGTGGACTAGGGCCTCCGTCCTGCAATAGACCGGGTCCCCGGTCTGCATGGAGCAGAGCTTCGGGCTGTCCCCATCGCACAGGCAGTTAGATGCGTGGCTACCTGATGACATACAATTCTCAACGGTTCATTGGCGGCGTTCTTGGACGGCTGGGGTAACTGGAGTTTCAACGGTGCGTCGTCGGATGCTAAAAATGGGCACGTGCGCCGGGAGATACAGATGAACCGCTTGCTATTGCCGCCTCTATTGGCCCATGCATTGGCTTGATTCGCGTTTTTCGGAGTAGTCTTTTGGCCCTTCGGATACTCGAGGACCACCATAACGGAGCTCCCGAATGGCATTTCGAGGATGGTAATCGGCGACAGCCCGGGCCCCTTGATGCGATACCTTGGACCGGAAGAAATAATGCTGCTGCTGATACCGGTAGCGCTTAGAAACTATCTCAAAACTTCAGTTGCCGTCGGCGCCGGTACCAGAGCAGAGCGCACGCCAACTGGATCAGGCCCAGGTAGTTGGATGCCTTCTTGTCGTAGCGCATCAAGATTGCCCGGCACTTGGATAACCAGGCCAAGGTGCGCTCCACCACCCAGCGGCGAGCCGGATAACGTTTCACCCCTTGGGCGTCCAGTTTCTCCTCGCTGATTCGCCGGATGTGTCCCAAATACCCGTGAGCCGCCACGGCCTGCCGTCCCGTTGGATTGTCGTATCCTTTGTCCAAGCACAGATGCTTGGCCGCTGCGTCACCACCATGAGGAACCTCCACCACTACGCTTTCCAAGGTGGCCGCCAGCAGCTTGGTGTCGTGAACATTGGCGCCGGCCACCACGCTCAGTGGCCCTCCACTCCCGTCAACCAGGACGCTTCGCTTGCTGCCTGCCTTGCCCCGGTCCGTGGGGTTGCGGCCTACTGAATCCCCCCCAAACGGCCTTGCCCATAGCGCAGTCCGCAGCCTGCCATTGCCATTCCACAGCTCCCAATTCCGCGCACTCCTCGATCAACACCGCCCAGATACGCTCCAATACCCCCAGTCGCACCCAGCGCTGGAAGGTGCTGTGGATGGTGCTGTCGTCTCCCAGTTCCCCAGGCAGGCGGTTCCAGTGGCAGCCCGTGCGCATCCGGAATATTATGCCGTCCAGGATTCGCCTGGGATCAACACGCTTGCGCCCCGTGGACTTGGGTGGGTCCATTTCAAGAATGACCGGGTGAATCTGCTCCCACAGATCATCCGAGATTTCCCATAGCGTTGGCAGGGTCTCACGCTTTTCCGTCATCATCCACCACCACACAAGTTTTCCCTATCCTAACCCAACCGGATTTGCCTCCTCCTTTTTAGCCGCTTCCTGTTTTGAGATAGTTTCTAAAAACCTATCCTAATGATCCGGCGGCTCTGAGGGCGATGAGGGCACAGGCGAAATGAAGGAAGGCGATGTAGTTGTCGGGAGACTTGTCCCAACGGATCAGAATAGCGCCGGAAGCGGTTCAGCCAACTGTGGGTGCGTTCCACCACCCAGCGGCGGGCTTTGAACCCAGCTTCCCTTTTGATGGCCTGAGCCTCTTCGCCTCGACTCCGGATGTGGGCGGTGAAGCCGAACTCGTCCAGGGTGCGGCGCACCTCAGCGAAGTCGTAGCCCTTGTCCCGGCACAGACCCTGGGGATGCTCTGGGCTGGGCGCCGGCGCGGCACGGCGGTCCACCGTAGCCGCACCAGCTTCATGTCGTGGCGGTTGGCCCCGGCTACGGCCAGTCCCACGGGGATACCCTGGGCGTCGGTCAACAGACTGCGTTTGACGCCCGCTTACCCCGATCAGTGGGGTTGGGCCCGGTTTTTTCCCCCGCCCAAGGGAGACTTTGGTCATGGCCCCATCCAGGCTCAGCCAACTCCAGTCCAGACCCTTCAATTCGTCATAACGCTCCAGTCCCACCCGCCACAGCTCCAGGAATACCCCGGCAGCGACCCATTCCTGGAAGCGCAGATGGGCGGCGGACCCGGAGCAAATGCCCGTTGCGTCCAAGGCCTTCCACTGGCAGCCGGTACGCAGCAAGTAGAAGATGCCGTTGGCGCAAGTCCGGTCTGGAACTCCGGTCGGCCGCCGCCCAAAGGATGGGTGTTCACTCGGTGGGGAAGCAAAGGGGCCAACACCTCCCAAAACTCGTCGGATATCTGAAAGGAACTGGTGGTGGGCTTGGCTGGATTGCGTGGGTTGGCACGCTTCGGTCGCCGAGGCTTGGGCTCTATCGGTTTCGTCATCCCCCAAGTTTAGATTCAACCCTGGCTTCCCCTCTCACTACTCCTGCAAGGTCCCACCTGTTTTTAGGATAGGTTCTAATACTCCAAGTCGCAGATGTGACGGCGGCGTTTGTCATGGCGATGGCGGGCCGTCTGGCTTGGTGGCGCCGTCTCACCACGACCAGGACAGGATGGAAATCAGGCAGTTGATTTTCCGTCCATACCAGTCGGGTGAGCAGCCGGCGCACCTCCGGGGCCGTTATGGGAATCAGCTCTTCATCGGGACCGTAGCAGCCCCCTTTTCTCCTGGTTCCATCGCTTGATGCTTGATTACTGACAGATACGCCTGCGCCAGCATCGCCAAGGTGATGTGCCGGTACCAGCCGTCCCACCTCCGCACCTCATACTGGTCCAGTCCCACCTGCCCCTTGGCCTCCTCGAAACACTCCTCGATGGCCCACCGGGTCCCAGCCACCCTCACCAGTTCCTCCAAGGCCGTTCCCGCCGGGCCGAAGCATACGAAGTAAGCCAACTCCCCGGGCTGGGCAATGCTGCGCCGGGCCAGCAGCCAGTAGCCCTTGCCCGGCTCCCCAAGAGGCCGTATTTCCACGACGGCCCAATCGTAGACCCGTGGCCCCTTGGCCCCATCGCCCGCACTGCATCTGGTCCAACCCAACTCGTCAACCTGCGACGTCAGCCGGTCAGCCCGCACCTGACACAGGCCCTGGTCCGTCCAGACCCACAGCTTCTCGTTGCTCCTGATGGCCAGCACGTGGGGAATTCCCTCTCGCTCCAGCCACCGCCGCAGCTTGCGGTCGTTGCCATAGACCTCATCTCCAGCAACCCAGCCGAAGGGGACTCCTGATTCCAGCGCCCGCTTCAGCATTAGCTGGGCCAGTTGCGGCTTGGTCCGAAAGCCGACACTCTCCGGCACCCCAGCCTCCCGCCGCCGCTCCCAGTCTTCCGCCCACACCTGGGGCAGGTACAATTCCCGGTCCAGCAGGGTTCTGCCCCTGGCGCTGGCATAGGCCAGAAAAACGCCAATCTGACAGTTCTCGATCCGCCCCGCCGTCCCGCTGTACTGCCGCTGCACCCCAACCGACTTCTCCCCTTTCTTGAGGAATCCGGTCTCGTCCACCACCAGAACCGCGTCAGCGGCGGACAGATGCTCCACCACGTAGGATTTCATGTCATCACGAACCAGGTCCGCATCCCACCGATAGTTGTACAACAGGCGCTGCACCCCGTCGGGTGTGGCGTCCCCCGCCTGCTCCGCCAACTGCCACCCGTTCTTGCGCTCTACGGAGCTGACCAGTCCCCGCAAGTAGTCCAGTACCCGCCGGCGAGGCTCAGGGCGCCGGAACCGTCCGGCAATGCAGGAATGAACCTGCTCAATCCCTTCGGCCCAGCGGGCCACTTCCGCCAGTTCCTCTTCACGCCCCGTCACCGCCGCACCCCCTCACCGGATAATGGCCTATTTTA